AAGGTTCTATTACTGAAGAAAATGAGAATAGATTTGGGGGCACTATTAATAGTCTCTGCCACCCCGCTAATATTGCTATTATAAACATTAAATGAGATTGGCACCAGCAGATGGCATAATGGTTACGTCACTGGACTCACATGTGATCAATCGCAGTTTGAGTTTCAGACACAGCCACCTGAAACTCATGCTGGACACATGTGCGTGGATGCCCAAAATCCTGAGAGGAGACTGGAGAAGAGATTGTGGCGTAGCCATCCCCCCTTCCCCCTGGGGATGATTTCTTGTTTTCTGTCTCTCTGTCTTTCTCTATTTCTCCAGTGAGCACATGCATCCTATAGCAAAAAAATCTCTCTTAAAAAAAAGATTAAATGAGATTATATGTACTGCATTTAAAACATGCCTGACACATGGTACATTTTCAGTTAAGTATTAGCCACTGTTTTTTGTAACTAAGCTTCATAGACAGTCACCCACTCACTCTATTAATTTGCTAACATATATTGAATACTCCTGATGCTGAATAATATGTCTGTGTTTAAATCTTTCTATTACCATCTGCCAAGATAGCTTGCCCTTTTTTGAACAGCTCTAAAAGTTAGGGAATTCTCTCTCAGACTAAGCAAAACTTACCTCCACAATAATTCTTATGTCTTGATCCTGATCATACCTTTTGAAACAAACCAATTTTCTCATTCCAATTTTTCACATAAATGAAGACAGTCTCTCTGTCTCTCTCTGTCATTCTGGCGAGCACATGCACCCCATAGCAAAAAAACCTCTGCCCTCCCCCCAAAAAATCATATCTCTGTATATTTAGATAAGTCCTGCAAATACTTGGAGGTTCATCAATAAAACAGGGATGATAGTAGTATCCATCTTTATTAGCTAAGAAAAGATTTGACAGAAAATCTAGGATAGTGATGATCTAAACAAGATACAATTTTATTTTTTTCTCCTCCAAATACAGGACACAGATACCCAGGCTTCTTTCTTATGTCTTTGCTATTAAGACAGTCATTATCATGTTTACTTCACAATCCAAGATAGCTGCCACAGATCCAACTGTCACACCTTTCTTCATGACGAACAGAATGTAGAAGAGTATACTTTCTCCCTACAAGCACACTTCCCAGAAGTTTCAAACCATTTTTGCTTGTATCTAATTAGCTGCTTCTTAATACCATGGCCACATCTAAATTTAAGGGAGTCTAATAAAGGGGTCATATTTCTGGCTAAAATTAAAGGTTCTATTACTGAAGAAAATGAGAATAGATTTGGGGGCACTATTAATAGTCTCTGCCACCCCGCTAATATTGCTATTATAAACATTAAATGAGATTGGCACCAGCAGATGGCATAATGGTTACGTCACTGGACTCACATGTGATCAATCGCAGTTTGAGTTTCAGACACAGCCACCTGAAACTCATGCTGGACACATGTGCGTGGATGCCCAAAATCCTGAGAGGAGACTGGAGAAGAGATTGTGGCGTAGCCATCCCCCCTTCCCCCTGGGGATGATTTCTTGTTTTCTGTCTCTCTGTCTTTCTCTATTTCTCCAGTGAGCACATGCATCCTATAGCAAAAAAATCTCTCTTAAAAAAAAGATTAAATGAGATTATATGTACTGCATTTAAAACATGCCTGACACATGGTACATTTTCAGTTAAGTATTAGCCACTGTTTTTTGTAACTAAGCTTCATAGACAGTCACCCACTCACTCTATTAATTTGCTAACATATATTGAATACTCCTGATGCTGAATAATATGTCTGTGTTTAAATCTTTCTATTACCATCTGCCAAGATAGCTTGCCCTTTTTTGAACAGCTCTAAAAGTTAGGGAATTCTCTCTCAGACTAAGCAAAACTTACCTCCACAATAATTCTTATGTCTTGATCCTGATCATACCTTTTGAAACAAACCAATTTTCTCATTCCAATTTTTCACATAAATGAAGACAGCTATAAAGCCACTTAGTGTTCTTGCTCCAAATAGGCATTTCATTAATTCATCATTTATCTAGATCACTAGTTGTCATATTTTTTCTATAAAGAACTGGATGGTTCTTTATTTTTGCTTATATGAGCCTGGGTTCTGTCATAATTTCTTAACTCTTTAATTAAATGGCAAAAGCAGCCATGAATATGGCATAAATAAATAGACTTGACTCTGTTCTAGTAACATTTTATTTAGAAAAACAGATGGAAATCTAGATCTGGACCTTAGGCTGCAGTTTGCCAATCCCTGATTTAGCACATGAAAACCCATCAACAGGGTTATTCCTTATTGATATCCCCCTATCTTGAAGCTGAAAACTTATTCTATGTCACTGCTAATTCTTCTTTTGCCTTTTATTTCTTTTTCTTGTCTTACTGCTTTTGCTAGAATTCTAACACCTCCTTTATCTTCGTAGCTTTGCTTCCTGGTCAGTTATTTTCCTAATCGTATTATCTATCACAGTGCAACTCTAGCATAGACATGCTAGCTTGACAAGTCTTCTCTTATTCTGCCTATACAACCTTTGATTTCTCTCAGCTAGCCCTTCAATCTCTCCAGAAACCTATACACATTAAGAAAAGAAGAATCCTCTTTTCATTTCTTTCTTCTTCAAACTTGTTAAGAGTATGGTCTTCATGTAGTGCTTCAGGCTTTACTTAACCAATCATCTAATGCACACTATAACTTTAACCCTAACTCAACCCAATCAGTTTCCCTTAAACATACTCAAGGCTGTCCAGGACTGGTAGGTAGAAACTTAAAATCTCTTGATGGGCCAGCCCCTGCTGACATATAAAATATGTGTTTAAGTATTGTGTTGTCAGAAAAGTCATGACATATTTTTCTATGCAAAAATGCATCATGGGGACCAGCAGATGGCATAATGGTTACATCACTGGACTCCCACGTAGTCGACTATAGTTTGAGTCCTGGACCTGGTGGCTTAAAACTCATGCTGGGTGCATGTATATTCTTGCTCAAGATCCCAAGAGAAGAACAGAGAAGGGATTGTGGCATGGTCATCCCCTCTAGGGGATGATTTCTCTCTTTCTGTTTCTCTGTCTCTTTCTATCTTTCCAGCAAGTGCACATGCCCTATAGCAAAAACCTCTCTTCAAAAAAAAAAAAAAAAAAAAAGGTGCATCATGACTTTCCTGATGACCTAGTATAATTTAACAATGATAATTTAACCAACTCTTGTTCATGCAACTGAAATTCAGAGAGTTGATCCCAGCTGTAGAACTGAAATTAAAATTTGAATGGTCTTGGTAAGGAGAGTGTGTATCTGGAAAAGTAGACTCCACACCATGTCACTAATACAACAAAGCTCCTGTGCCTTGGTTATCCTCTCTCAGTAAGATATTTACAAGCCATAGAATAGAATAACAGAATAACAAACATTGCATGGAATTTTTGGTTTTCAAAGCATTTTCTTCCCAACATTATGGATTAGGTGATTTTATTTCTGTTTTGCAGAAGAGGAACTCAAACCCCAGAGTGGTTAAAATATTTGCTGGAGGTGCCAGAACCAATGTCTGGCTGTTTCTCTTTATGAACTTCCATATTTGCTCTTCACTGAAAAGTCCACTCACCTTTTTAGCTAATTTCTACTGTCTTTCAAAACTCTGCTCAGTTGCCATTTTCCCCAGGAAATATTTCCTAGAAACCACTTCCACCTCATCCCATTGAGATGTTGTAGCTCTGTGTTAATGTAGATTTCAACTCTATTTGCACTGTAACTTGAGTGGTCATTTATTAGCTTCCAAAGAAAGTGAGGGAATATTTCTGCCATATTTGATTTTTAGTCAATATATGTTTGTTGAATAAAGGGATGGCCTGCAATGGAGCCCAGTCTAGTGCTCCAGGGAGTCAGCTCCTTGTGATGTTGCTCATTTTTTATTATAGCTGGATGTAAAACCAAGACCATTGCTTCAGTCTTCAGCCTTCCAGAGAAAAACCCAAATGCTCCTAGCAGCCATGGGTCTTTGTAACTATAGAACATCAGAAACCCAAACCTATGTGTTTCAGACTACATAGAAAAGAAAGCAACATAATCTAAGATTAAGAGAGTAGGTTCTGGAGTTAGGCTTCTTGGGTTTGACTCCTTTCTCCATCATTTTCCAGCAGGATGATCTTGGCAATTGCTTTAGCTTTTTTATGCCTTGGTTTCTAATCTTTCATATGTGAATAACAGAATTTATTTGTATTAATTACTATATATTTAACATTTTTGAGCTCTTTATTCCTTTATGTTAATGCACATTTCTAACTGGTATCATTTTCTTTCTGCCTAAAGGACTTCTGTTACCATTTTTTGTAGTGAGGTCTCCTAGTGATGAATTATTTCAGCTTTTCATATCCGAAAAAGTTTTACTTCAGTTTGATTTGCTGAAGACATTTTTGCTGGGTATAGAATTCTAAGTCAACAATATTTTTTTCCCAACACTTTAAAGATTTGCTCCACTCTCTTTCAACTTGTATTGTTTCTAAAGAAAAATCTGCTGCCATTCTTATCTTTATTCCTCTTTACTTAATGTGGCTTATTTCTCTAGTTTCTATGGTGTTCCTGAAGTCTCAACTTTTTCTCTTTTACTCAGGCATACTGTTGAATTCTATCTGAATTACCCTTCTCTGCCCTTAAGCCTATAAATTCTCAGAAATAAGCTAGGACATTTATAAGGGGACACCTCTTTTTTATTTTCTTTTAGAGATAACTGTTTTGTGTTGATCAATGTCTGTAAAACAATTTTTTCACTGAATTTTTTATTTAAGGTGGGAGGATAAATCTGGTCTTTGTTATTCCATTTTGGCTGAAAGCAAAAGTTATAAAATGTTAAATCAGAAAAATAAATTCTTAAAATAATAAAACTAACTTCTGTTTGCAAAACTTCTTCCACAAAGTTGTTCTATATTTTGTATTAGCTTAACATTATGATCTCATTTTTTAAAAATTTGTTTAGTGCCACAGTGTTTGACATTATTTATTTTTTCTTACAGGAAACAGGAAACATTAAAACTGGATTTTGAAATCATTACAAATCTATAATGGATCAGAGTTGCAGAATGTAATCCTGAATAAAAGTCTTCAAAATTTTCGCTTAAAATAACAGCTGAAGGAAAATTTATCTACCACCCTAAAATCCTGGTCTAGACAAATTTATTTATAATAGAAAGTCATAACTGGGAAGGTGTAATGACTTTCAACACACCTCAATGAAAGAAATAGTAATTTTGTTTCTCAAAAGGATCTGTTGCATCTGAGATTATTTTAATGATCACTTTGTAAAAATCTTGACATGATCACCAGGGAAGAAAGACAGAGCAATCACTGAAACCTGGGAGTTGGTCAAGATGACTTCTGAAGAAATGGCAGCTTCTGTTCTCACACCTGTGAGTCAGAGAAAAGTGGATGTGTCTGCTCAGTCAGCTGCAGGTGAAAGTCGTGAAAAAGTTTCAGAAATCACTATTCCAAAGGCACATACTGTCAGCCAGAGTGGGAAAACTTCTCATACCATCTCTCAACTGAGCAAATGTAAAGGAGAATCTTCTGGAAGCAATTTGCCCAAGGTTCTCACAATAGTAAAGGAAAACATAGTAAGTGATGAGAACAGTAATGAAAAGTGCTGGGAGAAAAGCATGCCAGATCCTGTGAAAAACCTTAACATTAACTGCAACAGCACATTGAGAAACCATCAGCCTGGCTGTCTTCAGAGCCAGTTTTACAGAACATGTGACTCTGTCACAGAGGAAGGCCCTTGTTTGGAAACTGGAATTCCTTCTCCACTGGAAAAAAGGGTGTTCCCTGGAATTCAACTGGAAATAGATGGATCTCCCATGGACATTAGTCCTTTAGGAAGTCAATCAGCCATCGTAGACACCAGCAGCACACATCCTGACAGTAATGTGGCAGTATTTCATTTTCATTATCAAGTTGACAGAAGAACATCAGACACTTTCTGTACCCTATCGGAAAACTTAATTTTGGATGATTGTGGAAATTGTGTACAGCTTCCTGGCATTGAGGGGGAGCCAAAGGAAACTTACTTGGCATACACTTGTAGACTGATGGAATTGGCAACAAACTGTGATAATGAGAATGGGCAGCTACAGTGTGACCATTGTGACTCGTTGAATGATCAGTACTTGTGCTTCGAAGGCTCCTGCCAGAATGTTGACATGGTATGTTCAAGTGATAGCTTTTGCAGGGAGGATTTTTCTGACAGTCCACCTGCCAAGACCTTTTTGAGCCATTTTGAGGATTTCCCTGATAACTGTGAAGATGTAGAAGAGGATTTTTTAAAAAGCAAAAAGGAACGGTCCACTTTGTTAGTCAGGAGATTTTGTAAAAATGACAGGGAAGTTAAGAAATCTGTGTATACTGGCACAAGAGCAATCATGAGAACTCTGCCTTCTGGCCACATTGGGCTGGTTGCTTGGAGTTACATTGATCAGAAGAGAAATGGCCTCTTCCTGCCTGGTAAAGTGATGGAGCCTAGGCAAGGCAGGAGCCAACATCTGTCAGAAGCCCCATGGTATCTGGTAAGAGTTCAAGTTTCTCCTCATCATTTCTTTAAACTTGATTTTTTTTTTTTTAATGCCAGAGGGTATGTGAGTTCATTAGAGACAGAGAGAGAGAGCAGAAAAAGCACTCTTCAATCTGATCATGTAAGTCTGGTCATAGCACTATCTTTTTTCCTCCAATTCTTTATCTGATCAGGATCTTGAGCACATGTATACATCTGGTGTGTAAGAGCTGGGCCTAGGACTCTAACTCTGGTAGCCATGTGGTATCCAGTTTTCTTTGCACAACACCTAACTGCTGTGCTACAGAGCTTGCCCATAACATGATCTTTTTACATTCTAAATTTGCATTGTCTTAACTCATAGAAATTTTAAAAATCTTTTACATTATAATTTTTAGAAGCATCTGTAGGTATGAAAAAAAAGGTACTATAGTAAGTATGTTTTAGATAGTTATCCAATGGATACTTGTAAACATTGTTGGCTTGAAACAATATAACTAAGAAACAAAGTACACAGATTGTACATACATCATCAGGAGTGGAGGAATTAGGAAGATTTCCCGGTAATACAAACGTGCTCCATCTATTGGTTATCTAGTTGTATCCTTCAGAGGTAAGTCTCTGGATCCTCTTCTATCATGTAGTTCATTGTTGTTTTTAGATTTCTAGACCTAAAAGAACTTAAATCTAATTTTTATGTTTTCCATCCAGTGGTCCCAGTTTCTTTCCTCTTAAACATTTTTTGTGCCATGGTCCTTTGGCAAATCGATGAAACCTATGACCTCAGAATAACACTTTCAAATGCATCAAATGAAAGAGAATGAATAATAAAGGCCAAATTATGTTGATAAATGTTTACCAAAGATTTAAAAATTGTAGTATGACAATTTAGGTGCTTCTTTATTAACACACTTAGTAATGCTATCTAATGCTATGATAGCTACCATCATTTCAAAGTAGGGATGGATGTAAGTAACAAATGATTTTTTCTGTGAGAGAGAAAGTGAAGGGGGTGAGAAAGAGAGAGAAAGAGATGCTTCTACCTGGACCTTCCTGCCACAGTCCACCTTCAACCTTAGCCATACTGGATCACAGGCATGTGAGCATGCACCTGGCACGTACAGGGATGCAAACCCAGAACTTGTCCTATGGGTTCAGCATTACAGAGCCTTCATTACTGCTGTTGCCGTTGCTTTGGCTCTGACCTCCTTGATTTTAGCACTGTAAATTTCACATCCTGAGAAACCCCTGGGCAAAATTACAGCAGTTTATCACCCCAGATATCAAAAAGATATTTTAGATATCCAACTCACATGTAATATGCTATGGAAATATCTGTGGTTTCCACTGGTGACAAGATCAGTTACTGCTGCTGCTACTGAGCTTCATTGCCCGTGTCCATAATTGAAGGAAATGCTAAATTTCTATTTGAGATTAATGGAAATAAATATTGATTTTTTTTTTCCCAGTCTGAATTTTCAGGTCCTCTGGGTTCTTTTTTTTTTTTTTTTTTTTTTTTTTTTTTTTTTTTTTTTTGCCAGAGGGAATATCTGTGGTTTCCACTGGTGACAAGATCAGTTACTGCTGCTGCTACTGAGCTTCATTGCCCGTGTCCATAATTGAAGGAAATGCTAAATTTCTATTTGAGATTAATGGAAATAAATATTGATTTTTTTTTTCCCAGTCTGAATTTTCAGGTCCTCTGGGTTCTTTTTTTTTTTTTTTTTTTTTTTTTTTTTTTTTTGTCTTTTTTATAGTTTGCCAGAGGGTGTGCATTTGTAAGAGATAAAAAGAGAAACAGAAGGAGAAGGAAAAAGCACCCACAGTGATACATGGTCACGCTTCAGTCCTTTCTCCTTCATTTCTCTATCCTGTAGGGATTTGGGGCAGCCAGGCACACACGCCCAGCATGTTTTTCAAGCTGTTGGGGCTGGGACTCAAACCCAGTTGGCCACGTGAGATCTGGCACCCTTAATCACCAAGCTCTGGAGCTAGGCCCCAGGTTCTCTGAATTCTATCAATAGACCCCATTCTTATGTTAAGAATCCTGTTTTAGAAATACACATGATCAGGCCACCTGCTCTTGGGCCTGATCTTTCCATCTAAGGATAACACATGTATCTCCTCACTGGCTAAATAAACACTCTTGGTTCTCTCAGCCATCCCCCATGTAGAACTGCTTCTAGAACTCTCACAGTCCAGTTCTTCACAGGCTCTTACAACAGTTCTTTTAAAAACACCCACTCTGGAAAAGCACCCTTTTTATTGAAATACAGCTGCCATGTTTTTACTTTCATCATTATCATCATAATCATCCTCAGTCTTGGTAGCTAACATTTGCTGAGCATTTCACTTCTGCCAGACAGTGAGCTAAAGAATTTACATTTCATTGTCATCAGTCATCTCAACTACTCTATGATATTGAGAGATTATTAACCCATTGTATTGTCAAGAAAATCGAGTCTCTGGGAAGTCACGGATGTTGTCCAAGGTCACTTAGCTGATAAGAGGTACAGCTAGCATTGCAATCCAGGCAGCTCACACTCTTAGGTGGTTTCTCAAAATCCAGTAGGAACTAAAATTTGGGATAAGCTATTGTCTGAGTGGTCCCACTCCCTGATGTTTGTGCTATCGCAGACTCAGCCGTGTTAGATCTGCTGATTCTAACCCTGGTTGTGTGTTCCAGCCCATGTCTTGCTCTCAAGCCAGACCCTTTGAATCAGAATCGCTGGGGTAGGGCACAGAGTGAATTTTTTTTTTTTTTTGAGTTCCCCAGGACATTCTATACAGTTGAGAACCATTAGCTAGGAGCTTAAACTGAGCTCTTTGCCTTTTGATCAGGATATTTTGGGAACATTCACTCTGCCCTAAAGTCCCTGACACTTGTTGGGCTCCTGGGAATGTTAGGGCTGACCTGGAATCCTGCCTGAAAAGTGACAGCCAGTGAGCTCATCTCTGTCCTCAGCCAGTGTCTGTGGATTTATGTGTCTCTTTACCTGATTCCACATGAAACCTGAGTCAAGGAGAGGAGCTCTTGCCTGGCTGCCTGTCCTACTCGGCACTCTGATGACTAGTCCAGAACCTTCATAGCTTGAAATTGCCATCGAGAGCAACATAGCTCTTCCCCCTCCCCTTAAAAATGCATTGGTTTTTTTATAATCATGGATCTTCAACAGTGAAAGCACAACAAAGATGCAAATACAGCATCCTGGGAATGTTAGGGCTGACCTGGAATCCTGCCTGAAAAGTGACAGCCAGTGAGCTCATCTCTGTCCTCAGCCAGTGTCTGTGGATTTATGTGTCTCTTTACCTGATTCCACATGAAACCTGAGTCAAGGAGAGGAGCTCGTGCCTGGCTGCCTGTCCTACTCGGCACTCTGATGACTAGTCCAGAACCTTCATAGCTTGAAATTGCCATCGAGAGCAACATAGCTCTTCCCCCTCCCCTTAAAAATGCATTGGTTTTTTATAATCATGGATCTTCAACAGTGAAAGCACAACAAAAATGCAAATACAGCAAAGTGAATGGAAATAGGTGCTTCAGAAGCTTTATCGTCATTCCCCTGTGACCGTTGTGGACCCGTAAATGTCAGAAGGCGGCCTGACGTGCCCTGCTTCCTTCCACCTTCCCTTTCTGCAGCACTGCTGCTCTCTGGGCATGCTCACCGCTTCCTAACTCAAACCTGTCTTTTTCAGTCAGTCAGAGGCCCTGGGATGGTTCATTTCCCATGAAAAGAATCAAAGAGATGATGCATTTGGTCTCCTCCCTGCTGGTTAGCCTCCAGAGGCTGGGAGGAGGTACCACACCCCTGTCAGAATAGACTCTAGGACCTTTTGCCCTCTCCTTTCTAACCAGGCTCCGGAGGCCATTGGCATTTTTATTAACCCTTGAGGTACAACTGAGGGACAAGTTTGCTGTCTTATCCTTTCTTATGGGGGATTTCTTAAAGTCCTTCAAACCACACCATGGAGGAAAAGATCAAAGCTTTTCGTAGTATGGTGTTCTCTATACTATCTTGCTTTTTTTCTTTAGAATCTGGTGGAAATCCTTCACAAAAGTTGCACAGATGAATTATAATCACTCTCCCCCAGCTTCTATGAATTGCTTCTTTGAATTAAAAGATGTGGACCCTCGTGGTATGTTCCTGTTCCTGTTTTCCGATTAGTACATGGTGTTTATCTTGGTTCCCTAATCAGAAATAGTCCCGACCTTTTTATATGATCCATAATGCAAGCACAGTGCCATATACCTGGGAAAGAAGGACCATGTCATGATTAGAAACATGATCTCTGAAGTCAGTCGACTTCCATTCAAATTATGACCCTGATTATGACTGACGACTGCCCTTGTCAACTGTGGTAAGTTGTTTGAACTCTTTATCTTTATATAGTTACCTTATACATAAACTAAGAGCAGTGGTATCATTGTGGACATGAAATGAAATACTACCCTCCGAGGGCTGACAAGGACTGTGTGCTACAGGTGTCCTGATCATAAATGTGCAGGCCTTGTCGTGAACACATTCCCACCTCATTCTGTTCTTCAGTGGCATCTCACTCGGGGACATTCACAGTGGTACAAATCTGACTGCACCACTCTCAGTCTATGATGGAGTAGCCTAAACAATCCCATGAGTTTAACAAATGTGTTCTTTATCTGATTAATTCCATGGCCTCAAGTTTTTAAGTTATTTTCTTGGATGCCTTGCTCAGAGCAACCTAATTAATTTATATTTGCACAGCTGTGTAGAGAAAAATGGGCTTGAATGGAAGACATTAATGAAGATTAATGCTTCTGACTGACTAAGGGCATTGGTATCCTTCTCCTCCTGTTGTAAATAATTAAAACCCTGCCCCTTATCCAGTTACAGTCATACTCCCTCTCTCCTTCTCTCAATTTGTTCGCTCAAGAAGATGGGATATTTTGGCAAGAGGCCGAAGTCTCCAGGTTAAAGTTTGGTTAAGGGTGCTTTTCTTTTTCCACAGTTCTCTCCCTTTGAGATACCTGGAATTAAA